GTGAAATAACCGTATACCATATAAATGAGTCCTGTCATTTCACATAGTTACAAATTATTAATTTATTGATATTATATTAATATGTTAAAGATTTTATATTATAGTAAATGTGTTGTTACACACACATTTAATGTTTATATTCTCCCCAGGGACAGTCCTGGAAAACGTGAATCTCTATATGTGTATTAAAATACATTTTGTACAAACCCAGATGTACTCAGCTACCTCATCTTTGACAAAGGAGCCAACCATCCTCAGTGGAGGAAAGATAGCCTCTTTAATAAATGGTGTTGGAGAAACTGGATGTCAACCTGCCACAGATTAAAATTAGACCCTTATCTTTCACCATGCACTAAATTAAAATCCAAATGGATTAAAGATCTAAATATTAAAACAGAAACATTAAACTTGCTGGAAGGTAAGTTAGGCAGAACTCTGGAAGACATTGGTATAGGAAAAGGCTTTATGAACAAATCCTCAGTAGCACGGGAACTAGCAGATAGAATCAACAACTGGGATCTCATCTTACTAAAAAGCTTCTGTACTTCAAAAGAAACCATCAGCAGAACTAAGAGACAATCTACAATGTGGGAAAAAAATGTTACCAGCTGTTTCTCAGACAAAGGACTATTATCAAGGATATATAAAGAACTCAAAACAATCAGCCTCCCCAAATATAAAGACCCGATTCAAAAATGGGCATCCAAAATGAATAGACATTTCTCAGACAAAGAAGTAAAAGCAGCAAGTAAATATATGAAAACATGCTGCACATCACTCGTCATTCGAGAGATGCAGATGAAAACAACACTGAGATTCCACCTCACCCCACAAAGAATGGCTGCTATCAAGAAATCTCACACTAACAAATGTTGGCGGGGTTGTGGGGAGAAAGGAACCCTTCTCCACTGTTGGTGGGAGTGCAGACTAGTGCAACCACTATGGAAATCAATATGGAGATACCTCAAAGAGCTTGGACTGGAGGTTCCATTTGACACAGCCATCCCTCTGCTGGGTATCTTTCCAAAAGAACTAAAAGAATCATATCACAGAGAAGTATGTGCACCCATGTTTATAGTGGTACAATTTGTAATAGCTAAATCTTGGAAACAGCGCATTTGCCCATCCGTTGGAAACTGGATAAAGAAGACATGGTTTTTCTATAAAATCGAATATTACTCAGCCATAAAGAATGAGAAAATAGATTCATTCATAGGAAAATGGATACATATTGAAGATATACTCCTAAGTGAAATAAATAAGTCACACATGTGTAAATACTGAATAGTTTCCCTGGTGTGAATAATCTGCAATAATACATAAGATCCTAATAAGATTACTGATGTTTAGAAATGGGAAGAAAGGAGCTAAAGGTGTAGAGAAGGTGGGATGGGTAGGGGAAGGGTAATAAGGGAAAAGAAAAAAATGTGAGAGAATGAAAAGATGAAAATAAAGTGTTTGTAGATGGGGAGGGGAGGAGGAGGTGAAGGGAGGGCAGGGACAAGGGGAAAAAGTGAGAATCAAGACCTGTCATGCAGAGGTACAAGATCCCAACAATGAATGTAACTGTACTGTATCCCTAAAATGTACCAATAAACTCAATTAAAGCGACCAAAAAAAAATAACATACATTTTCTTTGTTGTGTGATTTTTGGATTTTTTTTCACCTACATTGAGGCCTTAAAGAAGAGGTTTTAAAAAAAACTGAGACAGAAAGAATAGAAAAAAATCAACTTTTGTGTCTGACATCAGCCATACAATTCTTTGCGTTTGCAATCCTCCAGGAATAAAAACCTCAGCAGCTGTGCCCTAGTAAGTTTGTAGCTTCGGGTTATAACCTCACAGTGTCTATGGAAATATATGATGAGAGAATTTTATTTATGAAAAAAGTTGAAGAGTAATACTTAAAATGCTATGTTTTTAAATTGTGCCTTTTTACTGAAATTATTTTATCTATATTCATAGACGAAGAGCCCCTGATCTGACATAAAGTAAACTTTTGAGGAACAGACCAAGAGACTGATTAGTTTAAGTAAATGCACTAATAAGGAAATCATCTTTTTCTTCCTAGCAAGATCCTCTGCTCTTCCAGCTCTCACTTGCATTCCACACATTTCCTTTCTCTTCTTCCTCTCAGTAAATATATTTGCCTGTTCTTGTTGTTGTTCTTGTTCAGCTTTCATATTTGTCTCTTTCCCTCCTTGGTATTTCTTCTTTTGCTGTTCTCTGGCTTGCCTGCTTTTTCACCTCCTCTCTGGCGGTCTCCCTCTGTCATTTAGTTACATTAAAACTCCTTTGGCGAAATCTCTCCTTTAGATATACCAGGGGCCTTGCATAAAATGCCTGGAAAATTAATTCCATGTACATTTTAGGAAATCTTGCTCACAGCTGCATTTTTCCATTAGAGATGGTTTCAAAGGCTGCATTAAAAAAACCACAGCCAAATGAGGCAAAGTTTAAGTGAGAAAACATGTGTGGAGCATTAAGCCAAGTGACAGGAACAAGGTTACAGTTTCAGAAAAGCAGAAAAGTTCTGTAAATGCCTTTCCAATAAAACAAGAACATTTTTGAACTTTAAAAATAAAAATCAGAATGCCAAGACAAAATTGACAAAACTAAAATTTATGTTTGGTTTGAAAGACAATTATCACTCAGCTTAAGTGACTGGTGAATAGGAACCACATACGTAGAAATAACTTGAAAGGTACATGCTAATAACGACAGCAAGAGAATGGGGGCAGGAGGAGAAAGAGAGAGAGAGGGAGAATGAGAGCATTCCCATCAATTTCTTATTATCGGCTCTCTGGTCATAACAATTTTCTTGAAATCATAGTGTGCTCAGAACCCCAATGACTATGAAATTTCTGTTTATCAGAACTCATTATTAAAATAACTCATTCTTTTGTACAATCTCCCACGACTAACATGTTTTTTTCTATCCCCATTTTGGCCAATGGTATTTTCAACTGATTTTTTAAATGTAGTAAGCATACAAAATGCAAATAAGTTATATACAATTAGTAGCAACAGATTATTAAAAGATTATCTAATCCTTAACAAATATCTCAGTTTACAGATTGCCTTGACATTTGCAAACTTTTTGCTGAAGGTCATGGAACTTGCATAGTGAAATAGCAAATTTTTCTATCTTTTATTATGTATGTTTCAAAAGAAGCAAATATGACTATTTCTTTACAGCCTTCCACATTTCAAAAGAACTTTCATGTATATTCTTCTTTGATAGAATCATTGTACTGTATTGCTTTGAGACAAATAAAAGGGAGTGTTCTGTTGTTTAAATAGCTCATAAAGAAAAAGGGAAATCTCTATAAGAATAATGAAAGAAATTGGTAGCTACTGTGATATTAAATGAGTCGCAATTTTGGCTTTATGCAAATGAATGTTTACCATAATTCTGGACTTTATAAATAAACTGAAAAAGGCATTGGATGCAAAATAATAGCTTAAATCCCAAAAGTCTCCACTAATTTCAGAAAATAATACTGAAGAGGAAGTTACAGGGAGAGGTGAAAAATATCATTTACACATTCACGACCATTTTACTGTTCTACTGACACAGAAAGATCAAATGTGAAATATGGTCTTTGTCTAAGTAAACCTCCTCCCACCCACCACCTCAGACATAACGTTTGAGTTGAAAGACTGAATAAAAAATTTAGAGGGGACCTCTTTTCTCCAGTGACTTGTGAACTCTCTCCAATAACTGGTGGTTAAAAGCCTTTTTTTCAATTCTATTTGAAGTAACTGAAGAGACGGAGAACATTGGAACTGTTCCCGACAGTAGAACCCTGCGGAAGAACATTCTAGGATCATAGACTGGCTGTGAGTTCCTGTTCATAACAGACTTCTCAGACTGGAAAGGGTGCTGAGCCATGAAGCTCTGCAAGGAGGAGAACTTCCTCAAGGATGAAAGGGGGACACAACATAAAACGCAAAGACAGCTGCCACTAAACAAAGACATGTACAAAGTCTATGTACAAAGAATAGTAAGCAATAGCTGTTGGCTGCATTGGAAGAAGATACTCACTGTAGAAATTTCGATTTTTTTATGCTTCTATTTATTTTTTCAAAGTAATACATGCTTCAAAAAATTGAAATAACACCATGAAACCAAAAACAAAGAAAAATTCTATGATATCGATTTTTTCTTTGTTCATCTACTCACTTCTTTAAACTCATTCAGAGATTAATATATTTATCTCTATATTTCTTTTCTTTCTTTCTTTCTTTCTTTCTTTCTTTCTTTCTTTCTTTCTTTCTTTTTAGTACTGGGGAATGAACTCGAGACCTTGCACTTGCACTCTGTATTTCTAAATAATCCGAACATTTAAAGTTTATGAAGTTTAGAGTCATCTCTTGCTTTAATCAGAGCAATTGAGGATTCTTAGTCCTTTCCTAAGATTCCTTTTATTCTCTACATGTGATTTTTTTGATTAAAATCCTAGTCTATCATATGCTTTGACTTTACCTTATATATTTATAAGTAGATTTTTAAGACTCAGATTCAGATTTGACTTTTTAAAAAAATCAAGATAACTTCATAAGTGATATAAGTGATTACTGCCTGGTTAGCTCTATTTTTATGATGGTCATAACTATATATATTAATTAATAAAAGTTTGCAAGATAATTCTATCATTACCTTTGTTTTTTAGCTCAGATACGTTTAAAAGATAAATTTACCTTCATAGATTGTTTCCCTGGAGTATAGTTTAAATGGAAAATTCACAGTAGATGCTAATTACGTCCCTGTACTAACTTTCAATTTAGTGAGTTAGTCTCTTTGTTTCCTCCAAAGATAATCAAAGATGTGTCATCAGGAACATCTGAATTCGAAATGTTTGGTGTACTTCGGTTACATTCAAGGATGGCAGGGAGTGCAATAAGAAAATTTAAGCTTGGAGAATATTTTAGGAAAAGTAATTTCCTTCCTATTAAAAAAAGTTTAGGGAAAGAAAAAGAACAAAAATGAAATGGCAAATCTGCAAAGTGAAGAAAAAATTAAAGACATGAATGTATTACACTGAATTACTACTGTTTGGATTCTGATTCTTCAGTTAGCAATAATCATGCCTCAGATAAACTTCATTGGCTACAATACTGCCACTGTACAAAGCTTTGATTCTGATTTTTAAAAATTACTTTAAAGAAGAAAAGAAATACTCAGGAAAATTGGAGAAATGTGAACACCAAATGATATTAATTATTGTTGGACTTGGTATGGGGGTAGCTCAGTAGTAGAGCATTTACCTAGATGACCAGTGTCCTAGATTCAATCCCTGGAATCACAGGAAAATCGAAAAAAGTAATTAGTTGACTTGAGTAGTAAAATAATATGAATATAGTCATCTTTTCCTTATCTTTTATTATTTATTTATTTGTTTGTTTGTTTGTTTGTTTGTTTGTTTTGAGACAGGGTCTCACTATGTAGTTGAGACTGACCTGGAACTCACTATGTAGCCCAGGCTGGTCTCGAACTCACAGTGGTCCTCCTGCCTCAGCCTCCTGAGTGCTGGGATTGCAGGCATGCGCCGCCATACCTGGCTTATAGTCATCTTTTTCTACAGGAGTTATTGTTTTTGAAAGGTTGATAGTTACTGAATTTGGGTGAAAGTTTCACTTTTTCCCCAGTAAAGATTTAATTTTTTTATTCTGTGCTTTTCTTATTATGACTATTGCTTGATGGTATGACAAAGTATATTGTTTTTTTTACATGAATATTTTTTCCTAGGGTTAAAATTGATTCATTTTTATTTGTTTAGTTTTGTTTGAACATACAGCTAGCTCTCTTCTTTCACATCACACAATAACTTTGCAAATATTTGTCAACACAATATTTTTATACAGCTACCTTTATCAGATACGCTATCAGTTTGCTTGTTCATCTTCTGAAATAATCCATGTTGAACTATCCATCTATTTTCTCCAGTCTATACCACTTGCTTTTTATGTCTTATCAACACCTGTCATGCAAAGATTCCCCCCAGTTCTACTGTTCTCTCATGCCCTGAATATTGTATTTTTTTCTTTTTTCCCAGAAAATATCTCTATTTTATCATCATACTAGGCTGATAGTGTGGCCAGGCACAAATTTCTAGGTTGGAAATAACCTCCCTCGTAATTAAAGCCACTATTCTCCTACTTTGTAGTTTTTTGTGAGAACTCCAATGTCACTCCCACATTCTTACTCTTTTTATTTTTTGGTCTCTATTCACTTAATCCACAATCTGTATACACCTACTTCATATTTTTATTTTATTTTTTAATTTTCAGTAGATATTAAAAAGAAAACATAACAACAGTTATATGAAAAAATGATATTTCATAACAAAAATAATTAGAGAATAACAATGGTAAATACACTATGTGTCATGATCTTAACGGACTAGATTTTCAATTGCTCATCACTTCTCAACTCATTTTCTAATAATACTATACATTTTGTTCATAAAATATTTTAATTATTAATAAAGTACCTCACACTCAGTATAATTATGAACAGGTTTTTCCTATTTCACAATGTCTATTATCCACTTTCATCCTTATTTACAATTTCAGATTCTCACAACAAAGAGAGACAATGCAACATTTACACATGTGTGATCAATTTTTTTCAGTGAAGAGCATGGTCTCAAGGTGCACCCATTTACCCAAAAATGTCTCAAGTTTATCTTTCTTTATGGCTGAGTAGTACTCCGTTACATTAAAAAAAAACCGTTTTTTATCCATTCATCAATTGTTGATGGGCATTTGGGCTGTTTCCAAGATTTAGCTATAACAAACTGTGCTGCTATAAACATGAGTGTGCATATATATATACCCCTGTGGTATAATACTTTTAATTGTTTTGGGAAGATACCCAGAAGGGAAATGGCTGAGTCAAATGGAAACTCTAGTCCTAGTTCTTTGAGGTATCTCTGTACTGATTTCCACAGTGGTTGCACCAGTCTAACCTCTCACCACCAGTGGAGAAGGGTTCTTTTTCCCCATAGCCCTCCAACATTTGTTATTGATTGATTTCTTGGTATTAGCCATTCTTTATGGAGGGAGATGGAGTCTCAGCATTGTTTTAATTTGCAACTTAATTCTCAAATGAATATTTTTAATGTATTTATTTGCTGTTTCTACTTCTTCATCTCAGAAGTGAGTATTCATCTTCTCAGATGCCCATTTTTGGATTGGGTCTTTAAATTTAGGGGGCCTGATTTTTTTCAGTAATTTATGTTCTAGATATCACTCCTTTGTCAGAGGAACCACTGGCTTAAATATGTTTTCCATTCTGTGGACATCTTTCCACTCTGTTGGTGCTTTTTTTTTTTTTTTTGCTTGGAAAAGCTTTTTGATAAGATGAAATCCTAGTTGTTGATTCTTTGTAGTATTTCCCAAACAGTTGGGGTTTTATTCATGAAGTCTTTCCCTACACCTATGTCCTCAAGTGTTCTACCTATTCTCTCTTCCAGCAGAGTTAGTGTTTCTGTTTTAATATTTAGATCTTTAATTTTGATTTTAGTTTAGTGCATGATCAAAGACATGGGTCTAGTTTTAGCCTTCTGCATGTGTAAAGCCAGTTTTTCAAGCATTGTTTATTAAAGAGGTTATCTTCCTTCCTGTGAAGGTATTTAGCTCCTTTGTCAAAGATAAGGTGGCTGAGTACATTTGGGATTATTTTTGCATCTTCTAATCGGTTCCATTGATCCTCAGGTTAGATTTTTTTTTTTTGCCAGTACCATGCTGTTTTTAATTACAGAAGCTTTATTGTATAATTTCAAGTGAGGGATTATGATGCCCCCTGCCTTGTCTTTTTTGCCCAGAATTGATTTTGCTATTCTAGGTCTCTTCTGGTTCCAAATGAATTTTAACAATATTTTCTCTAGTTCTGTGAGGTATTCTAATGGTATTTTGATTGTAATTGCATTAAATCTGTATAACAATTTCAGGAGTATGGCCATTTTCACTATATTGGTTCTTCCTATCCACAAGCAAGGAATATCTTTCCATTTTTTGATATCTTCTTCTATTATCTTTCATTTTTTAAAATGCTATTGTGACAGGTGTTATTTCCATAATTTCTCTCTCAGCAACTATTATTTCTGTACAAGAATGCTATTCATTTTTTAGTGTTGGATTTGTATCCAGCTATGCTACTGACTTTGGTTATTAAATCTAAAAGGTTTTGGTGGAGTTTTTGGGGTCTTCCACATAAAAAATCATGTCATCCACAAATAATGATAATTTAACTTTTTCCTTTCCAATATCATTTCCTTTTATTTTTTTTCCTCTGGTTAGTGTTTCCAGAACTATATTGAACAAGAGTGTTGATAGTGACATCTTTGCCTTGTTCCTGATTTTAGAATGAAAGCTTTCAGTTTTGTTCATTTAGTATAATGTTGTCTGTTTGTTTTTGGTTTATCATAGATGGCTTTTATCAGATTGAAATAAAGACCATCTATTCCAATTTTTTGTAGAGTTTGTATCATGAATCATTCCTGGACTGTGTCAAGTGCTTTTTCTGCACCAATTGAGATGATCATGTGATTTTTATCAGTATAGTGTATTAAATTTATTGATTTGCATATGTTAAACAATTCCTGCATCTTTAGAATGAATCCTACATGGTTATGATATATAACTCTTATTGATGATTTGTTGCATTCTCTTTGCAAGTATCCTATTAAGGATTTTTGTGTCTATGTTCATTGGGGAGATTGGCTTGTAGTTCTTATTTTTTGTTGGATCTTTTCTCTTTGGTTCTGGTATCAGGATAATACTTGCTTCCAGGAATGATTTAAGGAGTATTGCTTCTTTTTTAATTTCATTACAGATTTTGAAGTATAGTGCCATGAGATCTTCTTTGAATTTCTTATATAATTCAGCAATGAAATTGTGAGAACATGGGTTTTTCTTTGTTGTTAAGTTTTAATTACATTTTCAAATTCATTGACTGACATTAGGTTATTTAAACTTTTGTAATTCTTCATTCAGCTTTGGTAATTCATATGCATCTAGGAATCTGTCAATTTCTTCTGTGTTTTCCATCTTATTAGAGTATAACTTCTCAAAATAGGTACTGATGATCTTCTGGATTTCTGTAGGATCTGTCATGATTTTACCCTTTTAATTCCTAATTGTGTTAAATTAAGTCTTTTAGTCTTTCCTTTTTTATAAGGTTGACTATGAGTTTATTAATTTTATTTAATCTTTCAAAGAACCAACTCTTTGATTAATTGATTCTTTGTATTGTTTTCTTAGTCTCAATCGCATTAATTTCTACTCTGACCTTCATAATTTCTTCCCTTGTATGAGTTTTGTGTTTGAGTTGTTCTTCTTCTTCTAAACATTTGAGGTTCACCATTAGGTTGGTTATTTGAGCTCATTCTGTTCTCCTGATATGAGAATTCACCAATATAAATTTCCCTGTTAGAATTTCTTTCATTGCATCCAACAAGTTTTGGTGTGTGTATAGTTATTATTGCTTAATTGTAGAAACTGTCTAATTTCTTCTTTAACTTTATCTGTGACCCATTGGTTGTTCAGGGATTTGTTTTTGTTTTTGTTTTTGTTTTTTTGTACCAGGGCTTGAACTTGGGTCCTTGCGCTTGTAAGGCAGGCCATTGAACCGCTGAGCTAAATCCCCGGCCCAGGGGTTTGTTATTTAATTCCCATGTCGAGGGGAGGAATTTAGCTCAGTGGTTCCACTGCCTGCCTCACAAGCACAAGGATCTGAGTTCAATTCCCAATACCAAATAAATAAATAAATAAATAGATTCCATGTTTGTGAAGTTTTTGTTGTTTCTCTTGCTGTTGATGTCCAGTTTCATTGCGCTAATATGCATTCCAATTTCTTTGCATTTACTTAAGCATGTTCTATGGGCTACCATGTGTTCCATTATGGAGAATGTCCCATGTGCAGCTGAGAAGATAAGAATCTTCATTCTTATAATTGTTTTGTATTTGACCTGTTTATTTTCTTTGAAAAGAATAAAGCAGAACATTAAAATAAACTTGATCTTCATAGCTAGTGGTCCAAAATTTTTACCAGTACTATGTTGTATAAGTATTTTAATATCTTATTTAACCTTTATTATAATAATTTTAGACCTCTTTGAAATTTGTTTGTT